TGCCTCACGCGGGCTCCAAAAAGCCAACCAGCAACTCCAACGGGACGTAACCAAAAGGGAAACGGGACACTTCGCGTAAACAAATGCACGACTCCAGGACACACAACTTAACCGAAACAAGGAAAAGAAGCGTTTGCTTTGCCAAACACACGACAAGCTTTTTGTTTGCGTTTGCTGTAGATTTTTATATTCTCTCCCCTTCCCCCCACCCTCTTCCCCCCCATCCCCAAACCCCTGATTCTCACGTGATTCACATCTAGTGCAACTTTACTAGAGATGTCCTCCACACTGCGACCTCTGCCCAGATGAGCCTGCGGTTCCGTTTCCTGCACGATTTGTGGAGCAGCAGGATGCTCTGCACTGGCACATCCATGTTCTAAGTTCTACTAGTCTGTTTATCGATCAATTAAATATAGTTTTACCACAGGAATATAAAGTTTTTAATTGAAGAAGCTGGATCTTTAACAGTAGACGAGTATATTATTCTGGTTTCCACCTTTGGATATTAAGTATGATACATTATATATTGTATTTGGCTTCGTATCACGGGAAAATTTAATGACATGCCTAGCATGCAAAGTGTTTCTTAGTAGTTTCCATTTCTTGTATTGATTACGCTGCCTTTGAACAGTAACTTTGAGATGGTTTGAATCACAACCAATTTTCACATTGCAAAAAGCCTCCACGTCACACTTCGCTTTATCGATGTCTACGCTCAGCTGGGTGGTGGTGATGTCCTGCAACGTGAATATACATCCACAGGGAAGCTCTTTCTTTAGGAGCTTGGGCTTTTCCCCTGCAAAAGGATGCCCGGGAGAGGCCTGAGATCCCCCGGGGGTGTGGAAGGACCATCCCGACCACTGCACGCAACCCTCTACCCATCCTACTGAGCCCAGCCCACTCATGAGGCTCAGGACCCATAAGCCTCTGACCCAAATCAACACTGGCTCCTGTCCTAATTGCTGAAATTCTCGACATTCTTGCAAACCACAAATCCGTTTTCTGGACTCCTTTGTCATCCAGTAGCTTGTGCCCGGGAGGTTTTGTTTTCTAGACCGTTTCTCTGGTAGGCAGGAGGGTTTCACAGCCTAGGTAAGGTTAAGTACAACACTCGACAAATTCATGGACCACAATATGGGAAAGCAAAGCTCGGTGGGAGGGGAGAAGCGGCGCAGGAGCCATCGCAACAACAGGAGGAGGGCGAGAGGTGCTCAGCACCTTGCAGGGGCGGACCAGGGGGAAAGGAACCTTGTTTGCATCCCTGCACCATAACATCACCTACAGTATGTTTATAACCATTAAGATTAATCTGAACCAGTTGCTTCAGTTTGTAAACAGTAAATGTTACCACAAAACCAAAACAAAAACGCTCCTCAAAAGTATAAAGACTGGAAAAATTACAAACATAAAAAAAAAAAATTAGGACAGCCACAGCCTTTAAAAAAAGTTGCAGATAAAATGATGCTGTTTAATTTAAAAAAAAGAAACCCAAAACAAAAAAACCAAACATAAAGAGCACAGAATATACTGGACAAACAAAACTATATAAATTATTGTGACCAAATGTGACACTGGTAGTTTACGAAGTGGATATGTACAGTCAAATTAAACAGTGTTTACCCTTCTGTTCTAATAGTGTTAAAATGAAAAATCTATTGCCATTTTACTATACATTGCATTGATTGAATCTTTAAAAGTGTCAGGAAAAGTTACCCAAAAAAAGCACATCCACTGATTGTACGGATTCTCGGCCCGCTTCTCCTTGCCAGGTTCATCTCGAGTCCTTGACTCATTTGCAACAACGCGCGGCCTCTGGTCCTCGGCTCAGTGAAAGGCAAACGCAGCCCCCACCTGGGATTTCAGTGAGCTCAGGACTGGGCCTGCATTTCCACGGCTCCCTTTGAACATTTGCTCTTACCATATACAAGTCCTTTCAGAAAACACATATGCAAAATCCAATTTTTTTTTCTTTTTTTTTTTCTTTTTTTTTTTTTTTGGACTGTTTGGTTTTCTTTTTTTGTGGGGACAGGGATAAAGGGTGAGGGGGCTGATGTAGGAGCCAGAATTAAAGAAGCAGTCCTGTCTCCATCAAACTCTGAAGCACTCCTCTAGGCGTGATACGACTGCATCCTGGTTGACAACAATACAGATTGCTAAATCTGCGAGACATCGTCACAGGGGGAGGAATGTCGCTAACTTAACTTCCCTCCTCAGACCTTTTTTTTTTGTGAATGAGGGGGTTTACAGTTTTGTGCTGGGATGTACAGAGGATAGCTGGGAAGGTGGGAATGCAGCTTGAGGGTTTATAGCAGCTAAAGGATAAATGCTGTTATGCAAAAGGTCACCGTAGGAACTTCCTACAGGTGTAGCTGCAGCTAAGTGTCTGTACAGTTGCTGAGAGTTTGCAGGGGACGTGAGGAATTGTCTCTGCACCATGAAGGAGTGAAGAGCCAAAGGCTGCATTAGTGGGGAGAGCACGGTTTGATTTTTCAAGTACTGCAGGGGATGAGAATACCCGGGTGGGAGGCGATTGTTCAGCCCCGTGCACAGGCTTCCCGGATACAAGCCTGGGAAGATGGGGGCTGAAAGGGGAAATTTGTGGCTTTCCAGCATGCTGCGAGAATGGAGGCTGTGCACTGGCTTGCTGCCTTCCCCCTCTGGGTCGGGAATCTTGTCTTTCGCCGACGTCTCCTTTGGTAAGTGCAGAGGAGAGACAGCTCGGATTTTTTTTTCAGAAATGACTTTGTCCAAATCCTCCAGGCTCCGTTTCAAAGGCCGGGCAGCCCCCACGTTTTGAGGGCTCGTTCTGCGGCTGATGATAGGATGCACCATCCCCTCCATCTTCCTCAGATTCTCCAGCCTCTGGGCCTGCTGCTTCCCAGACCTGTGGAGCAACTCGCTGTGTTTTTTTGGGGCTGTCATGGCCATGGGGGACACGCGGCAAGCTTTGGGGTTACAGTCTAGGCTCACCGCCTGGCTGCTCGCAGCCTGGAATGCGGAGACACCTTTGCCTTCTTGCTGGGCCATGGATGAATGGGGGAGGCCGGAGCCCGGAGCCTTTGCAGTCTGTTTGTGTATGCTCTTTGGAAGACTCAAATCTGTTGGCTGATCATCTGAAGAGGCCTCCACCGCTACCTTTTTTTCTTGCTGATGCAAAGACGGGCGATAATTTAAATTTAGTTTTTCTTGGTGTTTGTGTTGAGTAAAAGTAGAGATATTTTCAGACTCTCTGAACATGTCCCGGGGGAGGTACTTTGATGTCTGTTCATTATTAAGGTGGTGTTCTGTGTGCCTATACAGACTGTGCAGATGAGGTGATGAATAAAAATCTGCCAAGAAAGTGGGCACATGGGAGTGCTGCAGTGCCCTTTTCTCACTCATTTTATCTTTGCAGTCCTGGATATCCGACTTCTGTACGTATGACTCGGCAAGAGAACTGAGGTGATGTTTAGAAAAATCACAGCGCTGAGGATCCGGTTTACTTAGCATGTCATGTTTAAAAATGTCATTAATCGATTTCCTTTCTTCCTTGGTTTTAAAACTCTGTACATGTTGTATGACTGAGGGCCTATTAATTGCTACAGGATCAGAATTAGGGGTGTGGGGACCTTGCGATATGCTTGAGGACAGGTCATCTCTGCCATTCAGTTTCTTTTTGCTGATCAAAGGTGGAGGAGAACCATAAGGATAGCTACACGACAGGGCTGCCCCACTGACCTGAGACAGTAGCTTCTTCTTTGCCAGGGGCGACATGATGCCTGGATTACCCTTGGAGTAGAGCAGTGGCGTGTAACCAAAAGTGGAGTCATCGTTCATGGACCCGGGCAGCTCCTTTTCCTTGAACATGTCAAAGTTCTGGACCACCAGTACTTTGGGCGTTTGCTTTAGTGCATTGTGGATATCTTCATTTCCCAGTTGGTCCACTTTCACCGTGCAGTTTGCGATGTAATCGGCCATCTCTGGCAATTTGTCATCTTCCATGTCGCTCTGAGTGGGCAGCTGGACCGGGAAAGCTGTGAAGGGCATTTCTGGAGGTTCGCTTTCTAAGCTGTCAGTAAAAGCTTTGTGTAGTCTTTGTTCAGGCTTTGTGTCTTCCAGGGTATCTGCTGGGGGGTGTAATCGTTTCGTGACGGTGGCATCCAGCACAGTGTCTTCTTCTGGGGTCACAGATATACTTGAGAAAGAGGACGAATGCTGAACCTCCTCCTTGGCTTTCTCACTGTTTGTGCTGCTTTCTGTCAGGTCTGTCTTTTCCACAGGCAGTGGCCGAGCTGTCTCTGGTAGAAGAGACTGAGGGCCTCGCACAGGCTGTTTCATCTCTCCCACTGTAGGGTGCTCAGGGAAATTTTTCTGGTCTGCTGATTCTTGATCCTTCTCTCGTTCTGATGAAACCTAATAAAATGATTCAACAGACAGTAATAAGAATGAGGTGCATTTTGGCCGACTGTTCATAAGATTATACACAGCACACTGTTGGCTACTTTTAGAGAAGTACTTGTCAATCACCTTGCTGGAACGTGAAGGCTCTAACACCAGGTACTGAACTCAAACAAAGAGATGTACCTCCTGGAAATATAAAGAAATACACCATCCCTGCCAGGGTCACAATAAGTTAGCGTTTCAAAACAGCAGATGTTTGTAACCTGATGAGAGGCACCAGTGGCTTGACTACACAGCTAAATGCTGAGGTTATACTCTTTTAAAATTAATTAGGCAAATGCAGGAGAGCAGATTTCATAACACAAACAATAAGGCTATAGAAATTTCTCCCGCTAGCCAAATTCACCTACGAAAACGATATGATTCTCATGTTTTTTCTTACATAAAGTCTCTCCAGCGTAGCTATCAAAATTCAGTGATCACAGAGGAGATCATTCACACCCAGTTCTGCATTAAAGTGTGAAAATGATAGAAATGGCATACTAGGAATCCCTATTGTAGGCAGCAAATCACTGCCGCAGCTTAACTAGGACACACATTTTTTTATTAACGGATTAAAATGAAGTTGTCAACATTCAGTAAGTGTGTGTGCCTGCTATTACAAACATGGCTTTTATACGTTATCGTCAATGGGACCGCAGCTCTTTCTGCTCCCCCATTAATAAAGCCTGTGTGCACAATTCACACTATTCATCCCATTATGTAGCCAGCTGAACTGTGACCCGCAGAGGTCACCAGAGCGTCCCATCTGCGATCCAGCTGACTGACAGCCCTTTTCAAAACTGCTGTCACTCTCCTCTGACATGTCGTGGTAGAAGACAGTCATAAAACAGCAGCATTGTGCGAGTTCTTTATTATTATTGTTTTCTTTCTTTCTTCGTTGTAAAGATAAGACGCATCGAGAAAGTTATTATCTAAATGCTGCTTTATGGTCTGTCATAGGAGTGGGGGACCGGAGAAGGTCCTAACGAATCTAACCCGCTCAGAGATTTATTTCTTCACAGCTGCTTTTAAATATTCCTGTCTGTTTGGTTGGCCTATTAGTTACAGTGTCTGTTAGTCATCCTAACTTCTTCTTTTTAAACTCACAGCTGCCTTTTGCAGCCAAATACCATCATTAGGTCCTTTACAAAGTACCATCGCTAGTCTCCTGAGCTTATAAAATTACAGGAAAATACCAGACAGATGAGCAAAGCAAGGAGGAGGGAAAAAAAAAAAAAGAGAAATCATATTCAATAACTGTACATTCTGCTCTTTGTTTCTGTTGAGCAACACTTTGATTGAAGTTTCAGCTATTGTGAGGAAATGTGCAGTCTAAGGCTAATAGCATTTTGGCTGGTATCTTGTTACGTTGACAATGTCATTGTGACGGCAGGAAAACAGTGAAGAGCACAAAAGGAAATGCAACCCTAATAAATTAAAGTTATATTCTCTCCCTGAATACATCTTATGGTGTGTAAGTTGAACATACAATTAAGAGGACCGCAAATTTGTAACTTGCTGACACTTTTGCAGCTCACAGCCAGCTTCTAGGTCACATGCAGAAAATGGTTTAAGCGGTGGCTTGGTTGGGGCCATGCCTACACACCTAGGTGTGCGGCTACGGAGGCTCCCCATCAGCAACGCACCACCGCTGCTGTGCCTGGATAAGGGCTGCACCCAAATGTGGAGCCTGGCATGGGGCTCCACTGCTGGGGGACAGCTGGGCTGAGAGGTATGTGCACCCTTCCACCCGGTTCCAGCAGACTTGGATTTCGTTCCACCCAAAGGAGCTGGACGTCTCCTTTCCGCTGGTCCCGTAAAGGCCACGTCCCGGGTGCGGAGCCCTCCCCATGGCAGAGCATGGACGAGCTCTGCAGCCCTGCACCCACCCTGGGTGGAAGCATCCAACCCTGCAGGCCCCTTTGCTGCTCAGGCTTTGCATGACCACCTGCCCGTACGGTGACCTGCATGACGGCTGAGGTCCTTAATTGCCCACTGATTAAACAGGGGCAGGACATGTCTTCCACCCCAGTCAGGGAGGAGACGTCAATTCTTCTATAAAAGGTACCATTTTACAATTGGAAACTGCTGTAATTGTACATTTTTATTGTCTCATCTAAGCTCCCTACATTTCCGATAAGCACAGCTTAAGAACTCTTCCTGCAAATCACACAAAAATAACTGCAGTTTAAGCAGCAGGAAGTTTGAGATAGGGAACAACAAAAGCAAGGAAATTCAAAGTTAAGGCTGACGCTCTGTTGCTGACTTGTTACGTTGTGCCTAGCAGTGGCGGTACCGATAGTGTGTAACGTATCTTGCTGATCCAAGACCCTCTCAATAAATAACCAGGCACAAACGAATGACAGAAGGGAGCACAAGCCTTCACCTCACATCTTGCTTTGGGCAATTTGTGTTGCAATCTTAATCTTCCAGTGACTGAAGCAGGTTTGTGTGCACCCTCCTCTCTATGTATTTTTCACCAGAAGTCCAGGGGCTTTCCCCCAACAGGGCTCCTTGCTTTAAAATTACAGCGCGAGAGAAAACAAAACAAAAAATCCCCTTTCTGTGGAGAGCTCTTACATCAGATATTAAGGGTACTGTTGATCAAGGAAATTTAAAACACAAATTCTGGTTTGGAAGGGAGGTGAAATTGTCCTTGCAAGCACAACTTGAAGAGGTAGCTGGACACGAAAAATCAAAATTTTCTGTTATCAAAACTGGGTACACAAAATCTCAGAGGCATCTTTGTTTACTGGTCCTGCATTGTGTTTTTAAACAATGAGGAGGAGGACTGTTGGTAGTTGATGCAATATCAATTTCCAAACTGGTTTAGAAACAGGACTTACTTATGTACCTGGCAGACGGCAATGAAGTCAAAGGAGCAGCCATAGTCTGCCGGGCACGTCATGTGTTTCGACATTCTTTAAATACTTACTTTCATTGCAACGCCTTGAAGGCTGCTGTGATCTAGCAAACTGAGACAGGAAAAGCAACATCTTGTGTAGGGGTTTGGTGTGAGGAGCTTCACCGCCTCGTTCACACAGGGTACAAGCAGGCCACAGGAGAGAGAGTGGGCAGGATGTGCAAAAGAAAGTGCTTAAGTAACAGCGGAGCAAAAACCCCTGTGATTTTTGTATCACTTAGCAACCCGTGAAATTTACCCTTATTTGCAAACAAATATAAATTCTACTGATCTACCTTACTGTGGGCTGTGAACATAAAATCTCTTCTATGAGGGCTGTCCAATGTCTGCAGGTAACATGGCTCTATGTGGAAACCAGGGCCTGCCCATGTGAAGCAGGCGACAGAAAAGGAACCTATCGTCATCTCAGCTAAAAACCATCTGTGGCATGTGAGAGGGAAGTCAGCCTCAGTTAGGGCTTGGAAGGTGGTTCCCTCAAAATCTGACCTTTTAATCCAACGAGAAATTTAGTATAATATGATAAAAATCCTGGGGAGTGATATGTTTTTTGACAGACGTGCATACATATGTGAGCGCAGAAGAGCTGATCCAGAGGTTACCATTACAAAAAATCAGCTGTGTCCAACAGTTACCACAGTATTATTAACAGTATTAGAGGTTCCCACACCCTATACCTAGATTAGGAAATAACTGTGGTAGTTGTGTGGTTTCCTTTTGGCAGCTGCTGATCTTTTAGTGGTGACCACTGTATAATACAATGAGCAGAAATGGTACTTGTCACATCCAGAGCTTGGTCTTCTGCCATCACCGCTATGGAGCCAACAAGTTGCCGTCTGTAGCCCAGCAAAATCCTAACACAGACAGTGCCATAACAACTGAATTTCTATTGCTGAGCAAACTCAAAGGCCAACTGGTTGGAATTCTCCAGTTTAAATTACGTACTTTATCACTGGATTTCACGTGATTAAAGCTGCACATTTTTAATTGAAAAGTTGAAAAGCAGAAAAGCAACCAACCTCAGATGCATCTTGGGGTTTCTGCGCATTATCTTTTTCCTTCTTGCTCTTTTGGTTTTCATTTTTGATGCGTTTTGTTCCAGACACTTTTGTTTTTGCTTCACCCTCCTGGGAACTGTTATCCTGTTTTCGAGGTTTCACTGGAGGCAGTGGTTTATCTTCCTCTCCTTTAATAAATCTTTCATATGGCAGGATTAATCTAGGGTATTAAGGAACAAATAATTGATCAGGCTTTGCCATTTTAGCAAAGAATAAAAGGTATCTACTACGAGCAGTTTACTTAATAAATCCATTTTCTTCCAGGCCATAAAAGCAACAGTGTCAACTCTACATCTATAAATCCAAGTATGATAAATCAATTTATTTGGCAAGATTATCATGTGGCATAAATTCAGTGGAGTTGGAGTTGGAGTTGGTGCAGATCAGACCCCAGTAACGTTGCAGTGGTTTGTGCGGCTACACCAATTTGTACCAGATGAGGATATGAGCCACTATGTTTTAGACTGATTTAAAAAAAAAAAATCCACTGTTTATTTTCATTTTCCCTCCCTACCCTTAAAAGCATGGAGCAAACCCCAGGAAAACACCTACAAAGCCACAGCCAACTTGATAACAGCTACACGGTTTCCAGGCTGGTGGTTCCCCTGAGTGCAAGGGCGAGTGCCAGGAATTTGGCAGAAGACAAGAGAGTAGGGCTGCAGGAAACCTACAGCGGTGGGCACGGCACCCGGCACGCTGCAACCGGCACCAGCCCACTGCCACCCTTGCAACGCACCCGTACAGTGACAGTCACCACGCTCACTGCCGTCGCCAGGGAGTCTTTTTGGGGGAAGAAGGAGACAGGAAAAGCATTAAAAGCGACGGCATTTTCCCCTGTGGAATTGTCCTCCACAAAGCGCATGAAACCGCTTTAAAAAAGCAGGGAAGAAACACAAACAAAAAATATCCTCCCCCGAAAGCATCAAACACACTGAGTTTTAATCTATCCATTTTCCCTTTGCAATTCTTGATCTGAAAGGAAAAATAACTGATATAATTAAAAGGGATGGATTGCATTACAATCTCAGTTTCAACTTCAGTGATTAAAGTTTTTATAATGCATTTGGTATGATTAATGACTCACTGTGGGATTAATACAAGACTCTGACTTTAAAAATATGAACTTTAATACAGCAAACATAATTTGTTTTTGAAAAAAAAAAAAGACAAGTTGACTCTATGAAGAAAATGTACTTTGCTTATAAACAACATAAATCTGTTCAAATACCAAGAATCCTTAATTATCTTTAATCTAAGACTCCAAGGCAGAAACCTCTTTGGTTCAGATATTCGTTTGTTATCCTAGAATCAGTTTCTAAGCATGCAATTTTGATTTACATACTTAGATGTTCAAACACAGTTTGGGCTTAAGAGAGCAGAAATTAGATTGCTCACGATCATAATATTTTACATTTTAATAAAATACAACATAAATTATGGTAAAATATAAACCTAATTTATGCTATATTAGAAACAAAATTCATTAACTGAGCATGCTCTGACATGGTATGTGCAAAGAGGCGTGAATAATACTTTCTAGCCCTGAATTTGGCAGGGCTCCAGTAATGAAGCTAAGCAGAGCCCACAGGGAATATTCATCTTCAGATCCCATTACAAACCGAGTTTAAACATGTTACAGCTGCTAAAACTGGAAACGGCTCCCTCTATGCAAACTTAGCAAAGTAATACGTAGTTGCCAAATACCTGCTTCCCACTGTAATGTTACAGTTAATGTTTATATAATAAAAAGCATAACTAAGCAGAATAAGAAAAAAATAATCTTGTTCATACTTGAGGCTGCTACATTTCATTTGCAAAGCTCAAATATTGGTGAAAACACCAAATTCCTCCCTGCGCTGCACAAAATGCTTTGGACTTCACTAGAGGCAAGGTTGGGTTTCACACAGGGCAATGTCGAGGCCGCTCTGCCATGTGTTAAATATTTAAAATCGCTTTTAATAAAAACACATTTTATTACAATAATTGTTAGCGCTGTGAGGGGAGTGTTTGACTTTGTTTTGTTTCCATGGGAACGTGTTGCCCATTCAAAATCTACGTATTCCACCCGTAAAGACGCTGTCCCGTGCCCCATGGGAGATGGAGATACTCCCGGCTGGCCCACGAGTGGGTCTTTCCGTGAAAGATGCCGTGTGATTAACCCCGTGGCTACGGCCGGGACGGGAGCAAGACCCGGGCCGACACGATTAATCACTGCTCGTGTGCTCTCCACCGAGCCTTGTAGGGCAACGCGGGACACAAACTCCTCCTCCTCCTCCTGCACCTCACCAGAACTCATTAGCTTTGGCGCTAATTAGTAACTGTGGCTTAAATTTCCTTTTCTGATCTTAAGGGTTCATGTGGGAGTACAAGGTTTTCATTTTAGTTATTTTTCACTGAGCTCAGCAGTTGGCAGGCCGACAGCAGTAAAAATACATTTCACATAGCCGGTCAAAGGCCCAGAGCCAGCGGCAGGAAATCTGGAATTAAATGTTTCATGTATCGGGGAGGCGGCATGACTAAGGTAAAACTGAATCAAAACACAAGGATGGCTTGTTCTAGGATTTTCCCCTCCTCATTTGAAACGAGGGCCGGCAGACTGCTGTGCCTGGCCGCTGCCGAGGTGGCTTTTGGGGGCCGCGGGGGGCAGCTGGAGAGGAGCCGGGCAGGAACGCCTGCTGCGAGACCCCGGGGAGCAGCACCGAGCCGAGCAACACCAACAATTGCCGCTTCACGTAGAGATTTCCGTCGGTTGCAATTTTCACTGAACGTTTTTTCAGTTATCCTGTCATGGTACAACACAATTACCCACAGGATATGATCTTATCATTTGATTATTAGAAGTTTTTATAGCGCAGGAGTAATAAAGCTAATACAGCTCTCGGAACATGTAAGCAGCCGGCTCACATGCCATGAAAGCAGCCGGCTTAGCCAATTTAAGGTCAATATTGCCCAACACCGGAAGAATGTGATCTGCTGTTAGCCAAATAGTTTAGCAGAATGTGACATGTCTGAAACCAGCAGGAGATAATCCCCCCC